ATGCTGTAGTTATGAATGGGTTATTAATCACTGACTCTCCAAATCGTTCAAAGCCGCAGATTCGTTCACTAACTAAACACCACTTGCTTGGAGACGCACACCAGATGATACGGATTTCGTCTGAACTATTATTTCGTTGCAAAATAGAACAAACATGACAATATTCTGTTTAAAATGTAGGCTACATTTAAAATGTAAAATGTTCACTTAATATTACCTTTTTTTGTTGAACTGTTGTAAAAAATTGTCACATTTGTCATCGTTTGGATATTCAGGGAAATTTGCATTCTTGCTCGTATTTTAAACATGAAAACAATAACTCGCACAGGGTATGTGTCAGTATCGAAGAGACTTTAAATCGATCTCAATGTACAGTGTGTGTCAATATTTGCTCTTCATGCTATTAAGTGAAGAGCTACTTATTGAACAGCAGCGTGATTTGCTAAAGCAGCATATTCAGCAGGCATCCTATCACATGCACGCTGCTTGTGTGGATGCAGTCAGTTTTGACTGCAAAAGATGAGGTAATCTGATCGGATATCATGTATTTGACCGTTTACGGCTCTCCCATTTTCCTGTTTTTACATTAGAAGCGGCATTTTGCTTGTCAGAAATACATGTTCAGTTTTAATGTTACTTTAAGTTGGGGTAGAATTAAATGAATGCCAAAACTCAGAATTTTGTTCACGTACCCCCTCCGTCACCTCACGTACCCCAGTTTGAGAACCACTGATATAGGACATTCAGCTAAAAAACAACAAAACAGTTACTGTTTATTATATCAGTAGTAGGTCACAGTCACACCCAGCACACAAAAGACACCGTTTCCTGAGAATGACCCCTGTGCCTCGTCTGTAGGACATAAACTCATGCAGACGTCTGAATAATCTGTGTTCAGTTTCATGCACTCATGATCCTCATGTGCACCGCACCACAGCTGTGCTGAACTGAAGATCTGAAGCTCTTTGCTTATATAGATGAGCTCATAAATGTGATATTGTGTGTGTGTGTGCAGGTGTGTTTCTCTACCTGCAGGAGAATTTCTCTCATGCGCCCAGTCTTGATATGAGCAGCCCTGCGCTGAGCATACTGGTCCGTCTCATGGTAGCTCAGGTAATGAAATGTCTGTAGAGAAGTTCATATACATTAAATATACATTTCAGATTATGATCTAATATATTTAAGAAGTGGTTATGTAATAAGTCATATATTTCTGGGTTTATTATGTGCAGGTTCAGGAGTGTGTGTGTGAGAAGGTCATAATCAACATGCAGGACAACAACATGAATGTGCTTCTGCAAGCCGCCAAGGAGGCAGCGAGGGTAAACTCACACACACAGACACGCACGCACGCACACACACTCACTCTTACACACACTCACACACTCTTAAACACACGCACACACACACACACTCTTAAACACACGCACACACACACACACTCATACACTCTCTCACACACACACACACACTCTCACACACACTCTCTCACACACACACACACACTCGCACTCGCACGCACACACGCGCGCAAACGCACACACACACGAGCGCACACGCACACACTCACACACACACACACACACACTCTCACTCTCACAAACACACTCACACACACACACACACTCACACACAGTCTCTCTCTCACACACACACACACACTCACACACAGTCTCTCTTTCACACACACACACACACACACACACACACACACACACACACTCACATGCTTCAATGAATGCATGTTACAGGGTTTCATTTGTTCATAACTGTGTGTGTGTTTGTAGGTATCAGACGTGTATTCTCTGGTTCTTCAGGCGATGTCAGTGCCGTTACTGAAGGACTATGTTCCTTTCTCCTGGATCTCTATGGTTCAGGTCAAAACGCATCATTTCAGAGCGCTGGCTCACTACTACACAGCTGCGGCACTGTGTGACAGTTCAGGTGAACTACTGAATGTCTGTGTGTTTACTGACTGATGACTTCATGCATACATTACCAGTCAAACGTCTGCAGTGATTAAGATTTTTTAATGTTTTTGAAAGAAGTTTTTTTTTTGCTCACCAGAGCTGCATTTATTTGATCAAACATACAGTAAAATCAGTAATATTGTGAAATATTATTATAATTTATAATAGTAGTTTTCAATGTGATTATATTGTAAAATGTAGTTTATTTCTGTGATCAAGAAACATTTCTGATTATTATCAACGTTGAAAACTGATACGATACCATTCAAAAGTTAAGGGTAAGTAAGAAAAAAATAAATAATAAATAAATAATACTTTTATTTAGCAAGCATGCATTAAATTGATCAAAAGTGGCAGTAAAGACATTTAGAATTTCAAATAAATGCTGTCTATTCATCAAAGAATCCTGAAATATAAAATGTATCACAGTTTCCACAAAAATATTCAGCAGCACAACTGTTTTCAACATTGATAATAATCAGAAATGTTTCTTGAGCAACAAATCAGCATATTAGAATGATTTCTGAAGATCATGTGACACTGAAGACTGGAGTAATGATGCTGAAAATACAGCTGCGCATCACAGAAATAAATTACATTTTACAATATATTACAATAGACAACAGCTATTTTAAATTGTAATAATATTTCAAAATGTTTACGGTATTTACTATATTTATATCATTATATGCACAAATAAATGCAGTAAGAGATTGGTAAGAGATTTCTGTCAAAACCATTAAAAAATGTATATATATATATATATACTGTATATAACATTTTCTGCCAGGACATTATCTATTAATTTTACAGACATTTCCGTTAACCATAAAACAACGAATGAAGTGCAATATTTAAAAAACAGGTAAAACACCTGTATATAAAAAACAATACAGAAAATGCCTTCATTTTAACCCTTGTGTGGTGTTCATATTTTTTGTTACTCAGCCAGTGTTCGTCGGTCTGGTGGACCCGCTGCAGTTTTGGCTTTTTAATTCAACACAATCAGAAATTATATGTTAAAATACTCAACAGATGTTTACTTCATCTCAATTACAAGCAATGTGCATAATTGGTCAAAATTTGCCCTTTACCTTTGTTAGATCACATTTATGAATTAAAGTGCTACAATCTTGTGCGGGAACGGCAGGGGCAGAAACACAAAACTTACATTAACACTCACACTCTTACAGATTCTCTCTCTCTCTCTCTCTCACACACACACACACACACACACATAAACACACCTACACATACTAATAGCAGGCCCAGACAATAGTAGAAGAGAGTGAAGGTAAATTATTAACAAGATAAAATGAAAACAATTGTGACAAACTCCTAAAATGAACTGAAAAACTCCTAGAACTTTAGTTTCAGGTAATGAAGGATCCATGAAAAAAAAACAACGATAATGTCATCAAACAATGCATCAAACAAATGTCATTTTTGATCACAGGAATAAATGACATTTTAACATATATAACACATAGAAAACAGCTATTTTAAATTGTAATAATATTTCCCAATTTTACTGTTTTTACTGTATTTATGATCAAATAAATGCAGCCTTGGTGAGCAGAAGAGACTTCCAAAAAGCTTAATTATTGCATACTTTTGACCAGTGGTATGTTTTTTGTTATTTTACCATAAAAACTGACCTGATCTACTTTCTTAAAACATGTTCCTGTCTGTATTGTGCTTGTCATTCTAAAGAAACAATCTTTTATAATGATCATTTTCATTAAAATTATCGACTGACCGATATTGCGTTTAACAGCTAACACAGGTATGCCTGATGAAGATGACGATGAAGGTCGAGAGATTAAAGCTCTCATACAGATTCACACCAGACGACCAGACAAACTCGATCTCCAAGATCCGGAGCACAAACGGAGACTCGGTTTGTGTTTGTGGGATGTTTTCTGAACACAGATTTACAGTTTCATTGCAGGTGAAAATATACAAATGATTTTATTTCATTTTGAAGGTAAAGCTCATCTACGTAAAGCCATCGTACGTCACGAGGAAGCCCTGCGTCTTCACGCGGAGGTCGTTCACGCGCTGAAGAGCTGCACAGAGAGAGGACCAGAGCTGGACGTCATCACTCTACAGTCACACGAGGTACAGGCTGTGCACATGTGAAATAATAAAGCCTTACATATGAAATAATAGCCAAAATATCTATTTTTGGAAATGGAACAGTTTATTGAATCTATTTTTTTGTTTTTGAGTATCATATGATACATCAGGCTTTTATGGCTCATATAGTTTGATATAGTGAGAATATTGAGGAAAAAACAGCTCAATTTTATTCAGAGACTCAAACTGAGCAGAAAAATGCAATTTGGTGCAAATGCTGATATTTATATGGACAAAAAGTGATGAAATTCTGATGCTTGTAATGTAAACCAATGAGATCTTTATAGCAGTACAGCAGATACTGACATAAAATGATATAAATATCAGTCGTCACTCTATATCTCCAATAATATGTCTTAGTAAGATAGCTTTATGGGGTTAAAGGGAAATGTTTACTTTCGTGATTCATGTTTGTGGTCTAATTGTGAAAGATTTAAAAAAATGTTGGACTATCTACGCTTCATTTTTATTTATTAATTGTTAATTGTGCTACCTCATTTGTTTATTTTAATGTTGCATTCGATTTTTCAATATACATGCAGATATGCAAATTAGGCAACCGTGAAAACACCCACACAGAATTAATGCTAATCACAATTTGCATGTGAGGACTGCATCCTATTTAAAGAAATATGCTCATACAATGGTTAAAACACAGAGAAGATTCAAGTGCATGTAAAACAGTGACTTTATAGCCAAACACCCTACCAATGTGAATCAAAACTAAAATTGAGCTGACATATCGAACACTAAAGTGGTGTAAATTTGTTTTTTTTTTAAATAGCCTTAAAGCTAGATTAAATTCATACGATTTAAAGCAGTAAATAATGATTCCATAGGTTGAAAGGAGGACGAATGTCTCGCCTACCGGCGAGAAAGAGTGTCAGTCGGGCAGCCAGAGGAAAGCGGGCCGGGAATACGAGCGCGGATCCTCGTCTCTGTGGAACTGGAGCTTGAGGAGCGGCGGCGTCACCAAGAGACTCGGAAGCACATTCAGTCTTTCCTTCGGTAACTTCAGAGAGAGCGAATCCATGTTCTGAAAGCACACGAGGAAAAGAAAGGAAAGAGAAGAAAAGCACTATTTTACTCAGTAGAGCACAATTATCAGAGCAGAGCTGAACGAAAGTTAGCTGGTTTAGATGAACATTCTGGCTCAATTCTACATGCATTTCATCATGTAAAGTCAGTCAGAAGACCTGCCATGACAGAGGATTTTATTAGACATCTAGCACTATGCTGTGATAGTCCAATGCTTTCAGAAGATAGTGTCTTGCATACAGCAGCTCCAGAAGGCATTAAAGGAATAGTTCACCCAAAAATGAAAATTTGTTAAAAATGTGGTCACCCTCAGGCCATCCAAGATGTAGACGAGTTTGTTTCTTCATCAGATTTGGAGAAATGTAGCATTGCATCACTTGCTCACTGCAAGTGAATGGGTGCCGTCAGAATGAGAGTCCAAACAGCTGATAAAAACATCACAATAATCCACACCACTCCAGTCCATCAGTTAACATCTGGAGAAGACAAAAGCTGAAACAAATCCAGCATTAAGACGTTTTTAACTAAAATGCGAGTCTATAATCCATAATAACGCTTCCTCCAGTGAAAAGTATTTTTGGCTATTGCTACAAATATACCCCAGCGACTTGAGACATATGTCAGTGGATTTTGATGTGAGACACAACAGGAGATTAACTTTTTAAGAGTTATTATGGATTACGGACTCGTATTTTAGCAGGAAGCAATGGTTTACAGTTAAAAAACACCTTAGACCTGGTTTCACAGACAGAGCTTAGACTAAGCCAAGATTAAGCAATAGTTTAATTAGGACGTTTAAGTAATTTTTATAAACATGCCTTAAAAAAACATTACTGGTGTGCATCTTGAGACAAAACAAGGGCACTGACATATGTTAAGATCAATCAGTGCAAGTTTCTTTCAGTTGAAACAGCTCAGATTTACATTTTAGTCTGGGACTCGGCTTAAGTCTTGTCTGTGAAACTGGGGGTATATGATGGATTTCTTACAAACACGCAGCTTTTGTCTTCTCCAGATGTTAACTGATGGACTGGAGTGGTGTGGATTACTTGTGGATTATTGTGATGTTTTTATCAGCTGTTTGGACTCTCATTCTGACGGCACCCATTCACTGCAGAGCATCCATTGGTGAGACAGTGATGCAATGCTACATTTCTCTAAATCTGATGAAGAAACAAACTCATCTACATCTTGGGTGAGGAAATGTTAAGCAAATGTTCATTTTTGGGTGAACTGTTCCTTTAAGAATGTATTTTTGCACAGAAAATGATGATGGGTTTATTACGTCTGTTTTTTGCATGTGTATTTTATGTTTATTAGTTGTTGTCAGAATTTGTTTCCCAGCATTCCCGCTACACTCTGCCTTGTTGATTTAAAACTGCATATCCTGTGCAGGCCTCTTTATCATGACAAATAAATCAAGTTTTTCATTTAAATGCACATGTAAAAATATCATTCTGATATCGTGCTCATTTATATCCATAATAGTGAACTCTAGTGAGAAGGCAGTTTGAACCTTTTAATAAATAGGCAACAATTTAAATACCTAGAATCTCAAATAAACTCCTTGTACCACACCTTGTATATTCCTCACAAATACTCCGCTGCTGGATTTTCGGGATGAAATCGTGCTCATTTAGTGTAATCCTAATAATGATGTTTAAAGAAAAGTGTGTTTGGGAGTAAATGACATTCAAGTCTTGAACCAGAAGCTCTCAGGATGACATTTATAAGGAAGTATTCTAACAGCTGACTCTTGTGCATTGGGGATTGCAGGAATGAATATGCAGTAAACAATGATGAAATATGGGCTATTGCTGCCAAATGTGTTTGGATTCTACTCTGAGTGGCTCCCCAGACACACGCCTGCACTGGGAAATGAGACGGCTCAAATCTAGACAGTTTCAAGTCTATTAGTACAGACGAGGCCAATTCAAGTAACACAGCAGGCAGATGATGTCTGAGAATGTTGCCCAAACTAAAGTGTTTTTAACCTGATGAATTTGTTGTAAGAATTAATTAGTGCATTAAACCATCGGGGTCTGAGCTGTAATCAGTGACTTCACCACTAGAGAGCAGCATTAGGATGCACTTTGACATGAAAATATCAACATGCACACAGTTCTGTTCATGAGGGACTTGGTCAATGCACTGCCAACATCTCCTCTACCTATTGTGCATAATTAAATAATTGCTTAAAAAAAGAATTGATCAATTGCACAAGAATCATTAACAATGCATTTGCAGATAAAACTATTATTTAGTCATGGTCATTTTATGATAGCACTTTTTTCTGTTTTATAATTTCAAAAGTAACATTTGGCTACTGTAATAGGTCGTTTTTATAGAAATATTAAGTTTATTTTAGATTATTCATGCATTATTCGGGAAAAAAATATTTCTGATCATTTTTTTTTAAATAGAATATTATAAAACGTAATGCATGGAAATATCAGTCAAACATGTTTTATTAAGAAATTGTTGTATAAAAATGAGAAAATACATATTAGGCCTACTTGTTTTTGTTTAATGAAAATCACAAGATTTTAAGTATTATTTGACTACTGTATAGTTTTTTCAAAAAACATTTGACCTGCCACATTCATGTTTCTTATTTACAACATCTTCAAATATATAAAAGAAAAGTTCATATAAAGAAATTGATGTATAATTACATAAAAGGAATATATAACTTTTATTTTATATACATTTATTTTTAGGCATTTTTAAATCTTTGAAACCCATGCTTTAAACACACACTTACGCTCATTCATATTTCATCAGAGCAAGGATAATTGGAAATGACCACTTCATCTTTAAGATGCGTTCCTTCCATTAAACGTCGCGTTATTGCACAAATTCATCACGCGTTTGGGATCATGAACGCAGGCTTATGTTCCAGAGCTGCAGAAGCATCTGGCTTCCTTCAACAGCGATGACTTTAAGTAAACAAGTGCACAATCGATCACCGCGGACCATTAAGGGGCCTAACCGGGCCAGCAGGAGCTCTGTGGGTGAATCTTCTGTCGCTGCAGTGTCAGCTGGATCTCCGACAGCTACCCTAAAATGCTTTATGACCTTTCCGCGTCTCGCTGTTATTTAACACGGAGCTTTTGATTTAACCTCGTGTATATTGAAGAGAAGAGTAAGTGGCACGTCTGGATTCCTTTCCGCACAAAAGGCCAAAGACTTCAGCCTGCGCCGCTCATGTAAACACATGGACTCAGACTGAACCGATATCAGCCCTTCTGTTCTGACATTAGTAGCATCGACGATCAGAAAAACCTACTCATTGGATAGTTCCTGTAAATTCTGGGGAAAATATTGTGTAAATAAAAAAAGTTTCATCTCATATGCTATGATTACATTGTATTATTTATATAGTGGATATCCTTACTTTATTGGTATGAGTCACTGAAAAAAACTGGTTAAGGATGCATTAAACCATTAGGCATATTCAGCTTATTTTTTCTGTTAATGTCGAGACTCCCGATTCATCAGCCGCTATCGGTAAATAACACGAAGTGCAGTAAACGCTCTCGTTAAAAATAAGGTGGATTAATACAGACTTTTTGTTTTTTAATCAAGGGGATAGTCTGAGCTGATTGTAGTTCTTAGGTCTGTAAAAAGTCTTGTGTAGAGCATCCTCACTAAAGCGGAGTTCGAACCTGCGACCCTCTGCTCTCCAAAAAACTATTTTTGTTCATCATATACAGGCATATGTGGAAACGCCAAAATATATATTTATATATGAATAAATATAAATATAGGCTATAACACAAGTGAGGTAACCATAGCAGCAGTAGACCGTTCGAGTGCTTTCCGATACATTTTCCAGAATAAATAAATAAAAATAACTATATTGTAGTGTTTACTTTTTTTTTTTTTAAAGATTTTAAATATTTTGTAGTTTATTGGCTAACTGTGCTATAGGGCTGCCAAATGGAAGTCGGATTCGCGAGATGATACTCAACAGATTGCTGATCTCTGAAAATCACTAAATAGGCCTAATTCGTACACTGCTTATGTAGTAGGTTTGGTTCTTGGTTGAACTATTTATGTTTTATGTAATTGAATTCCGATCGTTTTGATTGGTCCATACAGCGGTGATATAATACACATAGGCTATCTAATAACAGATATGACCTGAAACACCTGTTAACCAGCTTCTGTGTATACAGGGTAGGTCACTGCACCCATAGAGACCTTTATATGTCAGGACTAGTGGAATGATGACATTCAATGAATTTGCAATTAATTTCTGTATTCGCATTAAAAGACATCTTTCCTTTTTTCTTTTTTTTTGAACGTGAAATAGGCTATAATTCGACGAACATAGGCTAAATGAGTTTGTGCTGTTAAATTTAGATGGAGTCAAACTAAAACGTCTATATGTTTATGCTCTGTTTCACTAATATAGCTACTGACGGATTTTCATTCTGCCGCAAAAACGCAATTAATAATCCGTGACAAATGTTTCCCGAGGCGGTCAGAGCCCCGAAATGAACCGCAGTGAGCTGGCCAGATCGCAATTGAACTCTCCGGACGGCGATTTCATCAACCAGAGGGAATTTGGACAAACAAACCAATTCCACAAGGTCTCCAAACTTTCCCATGATCGGCATTTAACGATTATGATATTTTAATTTTCCAGTGTTTCCAGCATGACAGATGCTCCTGATGGGGGTCCAGAAATAAAGTCCCTCCCAGAGGAACAGATGATGATCTGCTAATAGGAAGAGAGAGCAGTTCAGATCACTCAAGTCATTACGGCAAGTGTTTTATCTGACCACAACAGACATGCACGTAGTGTTGTTTTAATACTTTTCATTCATAAAAATGCATGGAGTTCCAGCAGTGAGAATAGCGCACGATTATGATGTTTTGCATCTTCTGTGAACAGATCGCTTTAATTACTACAGCAGATGACTTTGTGCTTTCAACGCAAATATATTTATCACAATACAGGCGTAGATATAGATAGGAATGCAGATATGGATATGGACAAATAAAGATTTCCGGAAAC